GTTAGATATTTTGGTTTTCATCTTAGTTTTAGTTTTCGAGTTGCAAAAAAACCATCTAACTCGTCAATTTTTACAACTTTACCCTTCATATAAAAAAATGCAGATTAATCTGACGAAGTCTAAAATAATTCGCAATGTAACTCTTATTCGTTACGTCAAGTTCGTTCAAGTTCGTAAAATTTTGATAAATAATATGTCAAATCGAAATCCTCGCGGTGAAGAGTTCAACTCTATTTTTAGAATTCAAAAAATCTAATGCATGTAACCGGAAAAACGTTTACAATATACGTATAAGAGTTATATTGTTTATTATTTTGGAATTCGTAGGATTAATTTACATTTTTAGGAGATGGAAGGTAAAATTACAAAAATAGACAAGTTGGAGGGTTGTTTTGCACAAAACCCTATATTAAACATAGAAGATTATAAACCAGTTTAAACTATTTATGATTTGGCTTAGTTTTGGTTTCATTTAATAAAAGTATAACTTTTGTTTGGTATGATTTTTTAGTTTCGACTGGATTTTATTTTAGTAATGAAAAGCTTAAATATATACTCCCTCTGTATTTGAAAAAATGTCGTTTCAACTGTTTTTGGGTGAATTAAGAAAAGGCACAGAATTACAAAACTAACCTTATGAGAAACGATTATTTACAATTATATTTTTGGTATCTGTAGTTTTGGTAATTTAGACTGATTAATTATGATCAATTAATTGGGGGTAATTTAGGAAATTTTATGCAAAATTTGTTAAAATGACAACTAATTAAAAACACAGAAAAAAGGCTAGAACGACATTTATTCAAATACGGAGGGAGTATATAAGTACCCAATTAATTTAAATTAGGAAAATAATAGCCAACTACACGATGTATAGCATAAGATATGACGACATATGTGAAATTTAGAAATATCTTAGTTCAAAAAGTATTTTTTATTTATTTATTTTCACATTAATAAAATTAGAAGAATAATAACCTATGGTGTAGTTCGATTTAAACAACAAAATATTATTAGTATAAAAACAAAAATGGAAAATTTCCAATATTCTTGGTCATATTCAATCTTGGAAAATGGAATTTTCAAAATGGAAAATTTCCAATAGTAATTATAATACGAGTAATATTGGAAATTTTTCAAAAAAAAATGTAAGTAAATATAAACAATTTTCAAAAAAAAATTACATATTTTAAAAAATATATTATTATTATTATAAAAGAAAAAAATAGAGCATTTCCAATGTTTTGGTCATATATTCAATATAGGAAAATGAAAAATCGAATTTCCAATATTAACTAAACAAGAAACTTATTTTTTTGTGGTTCAAAAAAAACAAGAAAAAATATTGGAAAATTTCCATTTTTGTTTTATAATGATAGTATTTTTTGTTTAAACCGGACTAAACCATGTTTAAAATCACAATTCATTAATATTATTCTTGTTTTTTCTTAATATCAAAAATAAATATAAAAAATTAGTGTTTGAATTATTTTCTGGTCAATGCCGAAATTCGATCAAAGGTGTACCGGATTAAGATAATCGTGATGTTGATCACATGTCGTCATATAATTAGTATATGTGGATATGCAATATATTTACTTGGTGTTGTTTACTATATATTTCTAAATTTGAGATGTGTGGTCATGTATTATGCTATACTAGTTAGCTATTGTTTTTCCTTTAAATTAGTTAATAGAGTTATTAAATCGTATGATTGAAGTCGTATAAGGTATGACTTTATGAGCGTGTTGTGATTTGGTTTTCCTGGGATTTGAGAAGGTTCAAGGTTTTGAAATGAGGAAAGAGGACTTAACAAAAGACCAAGACTAGAGTAAGACAAATAAAACACCATAAACACAAATTTACAAAGTTGATTAGAATTCTAAAAGGATGTAAATCATAATTCGTTACGAAATTATATCCATTAATGGTAAACCGAGAGAAAACCAGTTTGGAATTTTTTAATTTATAACTCCCTTAACATTCATTTTATAACATGAATTTTGGTCGATCAAATCATGATAAGTTCTTAAAACGATATAGAATGCAATTAAAATCCTTATGTTCAAACTTCAAAGTGTTAGTATATGTGTTCCACTGTGGTTTGGCTAAAGATAACGTCGGTAGGTTCTTCACAATATCTACAGAAACAATACAGTGATTAATATTATATATATATATATATTTTTTCCGTGATTTATATTATATAAATAGTGCTGATAAAAATAAGGAAGATGTAACTAAAATTTCATAGCTAAAGCTTACTGCATTTGATTCATCATGTTTCTCCATTTCAAAGTTTTTTTTCATTTGCATCACAAACATGGAAAAATCAGCAAGCAAATCCTTGATTGTCCATATGGTTGTTTTAAATATTTGACCCACTAAGGCATCTAGGACATCTTGGTCATCCAAATCATCAACAAAGATAAGAACTTTATGGTTCTTTAGAATCTTTTCGATTGCACCTATATGATCTATCTTTATGTCTTTTTTGTCTAAAATTTCAGCTAGAAAAGTTCTTTGCAAGTGCAACTTCATGTTATAGTCAACTAGACTAGCTCTACTGTAAACATCCATACTCTTAGATATGAAAACTTTTTCTATGAAAACACTACTTCGGAACTGACAAGAGAGACGACTAAATAGAGCTCTTGCAATGGTAGTCTTGCCAATTCCGGAGGGACCCCAAATCCCCACCATCCTCACTTCCTCGGATTCCAAGTGCAGCAATGAACTTATCTCTTTGATATGATCTTCAATTCGGACAAAGTCTTCAAAAACATTTGATGGAGATAAAGTCAATTTACCCAAAACATCATTAGCGAATTCTTCGACCATGCTTGCTTCATTGTCCCTAAAAAAAAGATTAAAGACAATTTCAGAAACTTGTTTGTTAAACAACAAATAACGATTCAAAAATTTGTACCATGCCACACTATGATATCCAAGGATATTAGCTACATCGGTCAAAGCTCTTCTCCATCTAATTTTCTGGTCCTCTGTTTTATGTTGGCATGTCTGTTCAAACATCTTCCCAAAGTCTCCGGTCTGATTCCTCACATGGGAAGGATCCAAATGGTAGAAAATAGGAACCACCATTTGACCAAACTCTTCCTTGCATCTCACGATCTCCAGCAACTCATTAAGACACCAGCTTGAAGAAGCGTAGTTTCTGGAGAACACGACCACCGCGATTTTGGAACCTTTAAACGCATGATTAAGCTCAGGATCAAGTGACCGGCTTCTCTCGATCTCGTTGTCTTTGAAAGCAAGGATCAGTCTCCTATCAAGTTCCTTTAGAAAGTGGCTGAGGAAGGTCTTGCGGACATCTTCTCCGCTGAAGCTCGGGAAAACATCATATGACCTAGTACGAGAAGAGGAAGAAGAAGCCATAAAAAGAGAGGTGATTCTGGAAGAAAAAAACTGAGAGAGAGAGAGGTTGTTATGAAACTCCAACAGATTACACATAGTATAGTAGTAGCATTGTGGTACCTAGCAATTGCATCATTGTTTCTTGGATATTGCTGAGGCAACTTGACGGAAGTTTCCTCTTTTGAACTGGAACTTGACTTAATCACCACCACACAAGTCAGAACCATATTTATGGCTCTTTTCTTACATTAATATCTGATTTAAGATCAGATTTTTTGACCCGAGCTTCTCACATCACAAGTAAAATTTTCCCAAGTCACTGTTCAACCAATAATCTCATTCATAAAAAGTGTGTTCAATCACCAGAGAAAAACTCATACTTTTTCCCTCTAGGCAAAACCCAACTGCTCCTGGATTTCTTCATTATCCCCTCTTGCCTAATTTTAACTTTCAATTTCGATAGAATCAACCATCGACCAGCAGAAGTATATAATCTTCGACAAGAATACATAAGAAACGCTTGATTCCTAGTCCATGTTAAATATGGCTGCAGCAACTTTCACGCCTCTGTCTAGTGTCTAATCATAATGCAACCTACAAGCACTACGTAAAGCCAACCAAACCAGTTCATTAGGTTTTACAACCATGTTAAGCTCCACAGCTTCTTTTAATTCCCTGTATCTTCCCAAGATATCAATCATACAAGTGTAATGTGGAATCTTTCTATCGATATGATTTGGTCCGCTTGACATGCAATCAAACAGCTTTCTTCTTTTCTGTAAAAACCCACAATGACTACAAGTAAAGAGCAAACCAAAACGTGATCTCATCTGGCTCTTTGTTTAGGCGTGACGAAATATAACAAACGCCCACTTTCTACTCCCATGCTGCGCACAACAAAAGAATTATTCACGTTTCCACAGTCGCTTCAACTCCATGCATATATATTCGACAACAAAACATAAGCAGAGCTTGATTTCGAGTCCAGATTAAAATGGCTGCAGCAGCTTTCTCGCCTCCGTCTAAAAGAACTAAGTATAGACAACCAAACGAGTTCATTAGATTTCACAAGCATTCGAAACCAAGCTTCATTGCAATTCCATGCATATTTTTACCCCAATCCAATATTCTCAAAGTAAAGAAAGAGTTTATTCTGGTAGCAAATGTTGATTAATTCGGTAAGATACTGTTTCTTAACATCTTCAGAATATAGTCAATATACCCTATCAATAGAGCAATCCACAGAGAATTATTCTCATGAGCCTTCTCATCAAACACCTTATGCGCGAATCCTCCGTTATCACCGAAGTAGATGCATATTCCTCATGTAAAAACCCTGACTTGATGACGAAGCCATGAACTTGTATACCCGTATGAAATGCTGGAGCATTCCCGCAACTGATCACACAAGTGAATGTTCTTGAAGTAGATTTTATGCAACAACCCAACAACATGTTCTTGAAAAAAGATAAGAGCTTCTCCAGTTTCTCTCGTTCTGGTCTAACCCATAGATCAATGTCGTCCAAAAAGCAATTCTTTAGGCATCTGTCTAAACATTTTCAAGGCATCGTCTACTTAACAAATGTGTAAATACCCATGAACGATGAACCATCGCGTTCGACGCTGCAGTATCGCTCACAGGCATTTGATAAAACAATCTCTCCGTTTGATCAACCTGACCTGACCAAAAAAAAAAAAACCATTCACCATCACTGTCCATGAAACAACGCTTCTGTCAGGCATTTCATCGAACATCTTCACTGCAGTATCCATATCACCACACATTACACATCCACTGATCATCAATTTCCACGAGACAAAATCTCTCACAGGCATTTCGTCGAACAGATTCAACGCACAACCAATCTGTTATTATTCCTCGTGTATGTTGAACTTTTGCCTTGAGCTCAAGTCCACTCAAGTTCTCACTCTTTTCTTTGTTTACCCAGGTCAGGCTGGCTCACTCATGACGTCTTAACAACTATTAGTACTACATCACTTCAAACACCTTAAGACTCCTAAACAACTCTGCTTTGCTAGACATTAACCAACAAGACACTCTTTCTTACTAGCATAGTTAAACTAAAGACTCATTGCTTCTTAACCACAGGATTTAAATCTCTCCAGCCCCTTTTGGGGAAATCAATTTTTGGAAAACCCCTCTTTATTCTCATTACCCTTTTCCTTCCCAATTTTTTCATAAACCAATTCTACCCCTTATCCCTTTAATTCTACATTTAATTTAATACCAACATATTTTTTATTCAACCAATCAAAAACTTTCTCTCTCTTCTCTCATTAAAAAACAAATCTACTAAATATCTCACCTTTTACGATATTAAACCCTACGAGACTTGCAGATTTGGGACAACTGGAACCACTGTGTACAACTAAGTAGAATATTTACGGAAACCCTAAGTTTGGTGCAACTGGGACAAATGTGTACAACTATGTTGATGGTCTGCTACGGAAGTTGTGAAATTATAAGCCGTTTTTTCTCTCTTTCTTTTTCAGGGACAATGAAAAGGAATTCAGTCATACCCTTTGCTTATGACGGATACTATACAAGTATTGGAGAAGATGTACATTGGATTTCTAATGGAGAAGATGAAGAAGTGCATTCTTTTCTTATGAATAAATCGAAAGGGGGACTATCCGGTTCCCCATAATAATCAATGGGTTCTTCCTGAGGAGATAATGCAACTGTTTGCCTATCCTCCGGATTATGAGGTAAAACAAGGAAGAAGACAAGAAACAAGATTCATCTCCGTTGGAGAACATAGAGGAAGAGGACGTAAGAAGAGGTCGCATGGATCGAGCGGTTTGGGCGAGTGTTCACCAATGATGGTGACGTTGATGGAGACGATGCACTAAGAACCTTATTCTACCAATGATGGTGACGATGCACTAAGACGATAAAAAAATACTGAAATTCTTATTCAAAATCCCACATTCATACACTAAGAACCTTATTCTACCAATGATGGTGACGTTGATGGAGACGATGCGGGTGACCAAGGTTGATTTATGAGTGCTATTTATTAGGATAATTTTAAAAACGATATTGTTTGTATTGGTTTTGTTTATGAAACTTATATGTTCTGTGTTGTACAACTAAGTTTTATGAGTGCTATTTATTAGATTATGATAATTTAAGAAACGATATTGTCGTAGCTGTGCAAATTAAGTTGTTCAGTTTTGGTACAACTAAGTACAACAGGTACAACTAAGGTCTATTGCCTTGGCCAATTTTATAATATGAAAAATTAAAACCAAATTGAAAAACCTAAAAAAATGCATACACGATGGTAATGAAACTACACAACAAGTTTTTGACAAAAAATTTCAAAATTTTCTAAAATAATGAAATTCTTACATAAAATCTCACATTCATACACTAACAACCTTATACTTCATGGTTACTTTGTAGTTTTGAACTAAAATTTTATAAATTTTTGAAATACTTGTATTTTGATAAATATAAATACACAGATACAAAGTAATGGTATTTTTATGAGGCAATATCATCGGTTCTACCCACAAAAATTAAACTAGAGTTGATAACAACTAGATTTACTAAATTCTCTATATTGTACAACTATGAGCAAAAATGTGCAACCGGGTACTACTGTACAACTAGGAACAAATTTGTGCTATTTTTAATTATTTTTTTCAAAATAACGGCGCCATGTAAGCTATTTGTCAGATTTTTTTAGATATTTTGAGATATCTTTAGATTCTTTCAGATATTTTCAGATATTTAACTGTTTTTTTTAATAAAAACCCTTACAACCTACATATTTGTCAGATTTTTTGAAAAATTAAGATTTTTTTTTTGGTTCAAAACTCTTAGATTATATTCAATACATAGATTCATACATAAAAATATTAAGATTCAGATTCAAAGATACATACATAATTAGATAGGTTTTTTAACCAAAAAACATAAACCCAGAAACATAGTTGTACCTGATCGTACCAGTTGTACCTAAACAATTAGCTTCATACATAACCTTAGAAACCAAAACACATCAGAACAATTGTACCTAAACACTTAGATTTATAAACCCAGATACATAGTTGTACATGTTCGTATCAGTTGTACATAAACACTTAGATTCATACATAACCTTAGAAACCAAAACACAATCCGAACATTTGTACCTAAAGCCAAAACACCAACACAGTGGTATCAAAAACCATACAATATATCTAAAACCACCAAGAGACCTTCTTCTTCTCCTTCGATCTCCATCTTCATCTTTTCTTCCGTATACGGTTCGTTGACATGAATTGAAGGCTTAACTATCCTTTTCGGTGCCAACTAACATTTCTTCTTAGAACATTGCTTAAATCTTTGTTTTGCATACTCTCATAATCTCATCATCTAAACAAAAAGAGATAAATAAGCAATCCAAACACAAATTCACACAATCTCATTATCTATCTACATAATTATAAGAGATAAAGTTTGTTTTCAACACATTTCAAATCCGAATCCGAAATCCGAAACACATTTAAACACATTTTGAATCTATCTAAGGGAAAAATTCAAACCCAAAAATAGAGATAAATTCAAGTTTGAAATTTGGGCCAAATTCATATTCGAAAATTCAATATCCGAAAACAAGGACAAATTCAAATATGAAAATCCATCACTTTCACAAAACAAAACCCAACTCAATCCATCCAAAATATAAATCAAACAAAAGAACGAACAAGAATGGAGAATTCGTAGCTTACAAAGAGAGGACACGGACGAACATGAATTTGGATTTCTCACGGTGGATTTCCAACGAGAAGAAGAATGAAGATCAAAAAAAGGAGAGAATAGGGAAGAAGAGGAGGTTTGCCAGCGACGAGAGTAGAGTAGAGCTCCGAGAGAAGAACGACGGAGGGATTTGGTGGGTTCTTAAGTTCGTCGTTCTTCAAGAGAGAAAAAAAATTAATGTTAGGGATTCAGACGTCGATTTTGAGGATTTGGGATTAAAAGATCCAACAGTGAGATCCAATATATGTGGATAGAGATTCAAACTTAGGTTGGGTCTGTAATTATGTCTAAAAGCTTAGATTTTATTGTCTTTTTTATTTTATTTTTTTTAACGTCTGGATTTATTATTTATTGCAAATTATGAGAACTGTTACATAGACGATTCTACAACGGACAATTCCTTCCGACCCTTATTAGATCCACGACAGACGACACCTTCTTTACCTTCTTCTTCATACTCACCTCCTTCACCTCATTCTTTATGCTCTTGATGGACACTTCACTCTCTGCGTAGAATCCTGGCGAACGGTTATAATTGTACATCGCTGGAGATCTCCTGCACACTTGCCTCCAATAATCTGCAAATTTATTAATAAATCGCAGTATCTGGGACTCGAACCCAGACCTCTGGGTGTAGAAGCATTAATTAACCCTTGTTCAACCAATGGACCAAAAGGGCTTCCACAGATTTTATTGTCTTTTACTAAATATTTGATTTAAGATAAATAGATAAATAAAATAAATTTATAACGGGGGATAAGTAGAGAATCTTTCAAGGAGAGGGGGCCGATTAGATTAAAATCCACCACCACATTGTCCTTGCTCACTTCTACTTGCTACTTGCTCTTGTTCTTTGTCGGTTCCATCATTTTGGCTGTCACAAAATAAACAATTTTTAAGTGGACTTAGAGATGGCAGTGGCCCAATAACCCAAAATAAGCAACTTTTCCTTCTCGTTGACTTGATATCTGTCAACTTCTTCTGCGGCTTCTTCACTGTGATGTCTACATCTTCATCACATTGATTCCTTATCCTTTGTTGCAGGTTTCATCAAAGGCTCAGTGTAACCTAAAATCATCTAGGTGTAAAGACTCACATTAGGAGATAGAACCTGATTCTGTATCAATCATCTTAAAATCCAGAAACCTATAGTTTTAAAACCAATCACTCAATCCAAAATAAAACAAAACAAGATTAAATCCAAAAAATTTCAATAACTAAAAAAATGGAAAAATACAGAAAACAACTCTTAAATTTTAAGGGCTTCTCCACAATCGCTTCACTCTTCTTCGTTGTTACATTTTGTGCAGTCTCTTCACATGAAGTCCTGAGAAGCCAAAGCAACACACAATTACAATTTGGTTAAGAATCACTCAGATGTGGAAGTGCTTCAGAGAATTGAAATAGATTTCTGCTCAATGACAGATTTGAAAAACGTCAACAAGACTAAAGTAACAATAAGCTTGTAAAACGTCAACAAGACTAAAGTAACAATAAGCTTGTAGAACTTAAGGCAAGACCTTAAGGAGTTTCACTTTCTGCCCTCAAGAAACAAAGTGACCAGGCAGGTTTTAAAGAATGAGCAAATACTAGATAACTGTCAAAATACAATCTGATTTTTTTTAGCTAAATTTGAGAATTTAAAATTTTAGAGTAGAGACGTAATCCATAAAAAAAGATTGGAGACTATAACAAATCATTCTTATTCGAAAACATTTAATGGATATGATCAGAGCCTAGAGTGAAAAAAATGCCCGGACAGTGAATTTTCTAAAGCCCGGAACAGTTACATCTTTGTGTATTCTTCATAGGTTTTGTGATTAAGCAATTGACGAAACAGAGTTATAACTATCTTGTTAAATAAGTTACGATATATTCGTCAAGTATCAATCATCAAATGAACATTCTTGTATCAGACTAAAACCACATAACAAAAAAAGAAGCCAAAATCTTTCGATCTTTATTCTACAGAAGAAGGCTGTTCGATCGAAATGCATGATATCGAGAAATGCAGTATGGAAGAACATAAGAAGAATAATTGTTCAGGGAAAAAAACAGACAAACCTTTTACATTGCATTGGATGTTTCCACCTAGAACCCTAACAGAGTCTCCAGATTCACTGTCATCAATCATCATCTCGCTTCTTGATTAGTCCCTTCACATACTCTACAAAAACTATCCAACATTACATTATTTATAATTGTTTCTGTTTACTCTTGAAAAAGGAACTAATAAGATACATATCTAGAGAATATAATGCTTAATTACCTTGATTTGCTTCTTCTTCTCTGTCTCTACACACTTGACCTGAAGTTTCACTGACTCTGTTGATTTCATAGGCTTCACAAACATGTGCAAGAATATCCGGAGGTGGAGTTCAATCCTAATAGAGTCTTATACCACATCCTTTTAATTTGATCTGAGAGTAGTCATCAGTGAGACGAAACTGTATATCCACGTGATCGTAGTGACGTTTAGCTAGATAAGCATAGTCACCGTTTAGAGGTAAGCTACAGTTGAATATAACAAGATGACTACCCAACGGTGCTGCCGCGAAGTACATAGGCCAATAAGCAGAACCAAAGTGGTTCCTAAGTCCGTCTATGAACTGACAATTTACCTCGATGAGAAATGAAATATGATCTATGGAAATAATTTCAGAATCTACCACCGCGCAAGCCAAAAACCTGAAGAATGGTTGAGAGAGAGATGTCTGAAGTAGAGGGATATTGGTCATAGAGGTCCCAGTAGTACGGTGAGTGAAATACGAAGGCACTTCTTGATCAGCTGGCAAGATTAGTCTCTTGAAAACTGATTGTTGCTGAAGAAGAGCTTCTTGATCCAACTTGAAGCAGTTGAGGAAATCGAGCTCGACTCTTGGGAAATGATCATATGGAAGAGAAGAGGAAACCTCGACATAGAATGGTAACTTCGAGTGAATATTGTCTGCCATTTCCACCGTTATTGGACTATCATTCAAGCTAGCTACTTTCAATGCCCCGCAGTCTGAAAAGTCAACGATCGCAAGATGTTTGAGTTTGGAAATGTTTAGGGTTACATACTCCAATTTATCGCAATTCCACATATATATCGTCCTCAGCTCAGTGAAGTTCTCGATCCACCAAGGAACCTCTTCAATCCTGGTTTGACTTAGATTGAGATATGAGATGTTGGTTGAGATATCAGGAAAGCTCTTTATGCTTGAGCATCCAAAGAGATTGAGGCAGTCCAGAGCTTGGAGGTTGAAGTTGGTAGGAAGAGTCTCCAGATTTTCGCAATATGACAAGTTCAATCTCTTCAGTTTATTGAGATACTGCACAGAGGAATGAAGCTCCACCAAACTCGAGCAAGCCCCTAAATTAAGTGTCTCGAGATTTGTGGCCATTGAAAGATCAGGGATTTCTTTCAGGTTTTTGGATCCCCACAAATCCATCTTCTTGAGCGTAGTAAGTGGCTGAAATATAAGTAAGTAATACATCAGTTAAAAGAGATGTCTTTCAATAAGTAAAATAAGTAATATGATCTTGAAACTAATTCTAATTAATATTACTAGAAACTTACTTGAACTCCATCCCACAGCATCTCGAAATAGCTGTACCTCATTTCGAGCTTAACAAGGGATTGAGGACAAAATGTAGATGGCATAGATCTAAGCGGGTAACCTCTCCAACTCAGTAATCTGAGCTTAGGTGGTAAATAATCGAAGTCTTCTGGTAAGTTCAATCTAACTTCTTTGTTCTCCTTGGTAGAAATCCTTAGAAATTGAAGATTACGCATCTCTTTGAAGGCACTCTCATGAATATGCAGTTCATCAGTCTCATCTATATCCAATGATATACCTAAAACGTTTTCAGTACCCTGCAATTATAATATCAACAAAAAGAGACAAAACCATCAGCTAAACTCATGCTTTTGATCTTTATAAGAATGAGATATATGAAAAGAGGACGAGAAAACTTACAGTGTTATCTTCAAGTATAGTGAAAACATCTTTCGAATCCACAATGAATTCTCTTTCTCCAGGCTCACTAGACTGTGTACGGTTAATCTCCTTGCCTATTTCTTGTATCAAAGAGTGCATCTCCACGGTATTGCACGTTTCTTTGATAAGGGATTTATCAACTAGGTTTTTAATCCCCATATTAACATCCAAGTCACTATCTGCTAGTAGTGACTTGATATCATCGACTTCCTCACCATTGAAGAAACATGCAATGTGACGAAATATTGCTTCATCGTTTTTATTTAACCCATTGTAGCTCAACTTTAGTGTCTCCTCAATGTTACCATGTTGACCTTTTCCAAACCTCAACAACATATCCATCCAGTATTTTTTGTCTCTACTCCGCAAATGCGAACCCAAAACATTAAGAACCAATGGAAGATTACCCGCACGCAATGAAGTTTCGGAAGCAAGCTCCATAAAACCATCAGGTGGATGGTTTTGCCTAAAGGCATATTGACATAATATTTGAAGGGAAAGAGGATTAGATGGGAGAGGAACTTCATAGATACGACCAATCCCGTGGGCTTTCAGGAGATGCTTATATTTTGTAATCACAACGACTCTACTCCCACATCCAAACCAATCAGTGTGACCTGCCAAGGTATCTAAGACGACTTGATACTCCAAATCATCTATAAAGATAAGAACTTTGTGGTTCTTTAGCCTCTCTCCCACTGCACCTAAATGACATATTTTAATGTCTCTTTTCCCCAAAATTTCCGAAAGAAAAATTCCTTGTAAATGCAACTTCATGTTATAGTCGCCCAGATTGGCTCCACTATAATGTTCCATACTCTTAGACAGAAAAGCCCTATCAATGAAAACATTACATCTGAAGCGACGGGAGAGTCGGTTGAATAGAACTCTTGCAATGGAAGTCTTACCAATTCCGGAGGGACCACATATCCCAACCATCCTCACCTCCTTCGCTTCCAAATGCAACAAAAAGTTCATTTTTGCGATATGAGTTTCGATGCCGACAAAGTCCTCGTAATCCTTTGATGGCGTTAAAGCTAGTTCACCCAAAACATCAGCGATGATGGCCTCAATCATTTTTGCTTCGTTTTTGCTAACAAGGAGAAATATCATTTCGTAAACATGGGAACACATTTCTATATATATAGTAAGCACACAATATGAAAACTTACCATGTCACAGAAGAATGATACCCGGTGATATTAGCTACTTCGGTCAAAGCTCTTCTCAATCGAATCTTCATTTTCTCTGTTTTGTTGTGGCAAGTTTTTTCAAAATTCATTCCAAAGACTCCGGTCTGTTTCCTTACATGGGTAGGATCCAAATGGAAGAAAATGGGAATCACCACTTGACTAAACTCTTTCTTGCATCTCACAATTTCCAGCAACTCGTTAAGACACCAGCTTGAAGAGGCATACTTTCTGGAAAAGATAACGACTGCAATTCTTGAATCCCTAATCGCCCGTTTTAGCTTGGGACCGAGGGATATGCCTCTCTTGATCTCGTTGTCTTTGAAAACAAGGATCGGTTTCCGATCAAGCTCCTTATAAAAGTGACTGAGGAAGCTTTTGCGGATGTCTTCTCCGCTGAAGCTCAGGAAGAGGTCATTTTCCCATTTGCGAGAAGAAGAAGAAGAAGAAGAAAAAGAAGATAGAGCCATAGAGAGAGAGGGGATGAAACTATTTTCAAGAATAACATTGAGCCATAGAGAGAGAAGAGGACGAAGCTAATTCCAAGAACATAGAGCCATAGAACAGAGAGGGAGGAAACTAATTTCAAGAAGAACAAAGACTTAAGAGATTAGTCATTGAGATTGTGAAAAGAAAAACAGAGGAGAAGTAAGGTCTCACCGTTTCTTAGCAATATCACCATAGTTTCCCGGAGTTTTCGGAGTTGAGGAAGTTTCCTATCTATTGACTTAATCACAAATCTTATTTTGTCAAGATAACTCGTTTGTTTCACAAGTCAGAACTCTTCAAATAATTCTCAAGACTTTTCAACTATTTGTTTTTCCTTTTTGGCCGGTGCTTATGAAGATTTTCTTGGTACATTTTTTTTTGTTTTTTATGAATGGACTTTCTTGCGTTAAAAATGAACAAAACCCTACCAACATGGACAAGATAAATAATTTAAGACATTGTTGAATCGATAACATCGAAAGCTATAAATGATGTCTTATCTCGGGTTAAGATGACTCGAGATTGAATCATTGAACATATTTTGCTTATGCAAAGCCATTAGATCAAAAATAGGCGCCTGGACTACAAAGTATCTATCTCTCGCTGGAAGACTGCAACTTCTAAATTCAGTAATTATAAACTTTTGGTGTGGTGCTTTCACAATACTTGAATTGTAAACAACTATTGAAGCTAATGATCTCTCTAGCTACTAACTGGTTTAGCACCATACCTGTCAATAGGGTTAAAATCAACTTCTAGAAAGACTCTTCGACAGATTTAGGCCGCTAATCGATTACTTCACCGTCAACCGGATCGCAACTTTCCGATTACAAAACTAGACAATCGCAAGTCAGATTTTCAGTTTTCCCTTCGCTGGGAAACGAAGTCACCAGACTCTTCCTTTACCACACGATTGGGCTCCTTGTGGGCTTTTACCAGTTGGGTTAAAACTTTTCATGAGTTCAATAAGTATATAATATCTGATAGTAAAAAAATAGTTCTTCTTGAAATTGATTGTAATATGCCTGGGATTTCGGTTAACCGTTCGGTTATCGGTTGGGTCCATTCGGTTTCGGTTCTTTGGTTTCAAAATTTAGTATCTATTCGGATATTTTGAAATTTCGGTTCAGTTTCGGTTCGGTTCCGGTTTTTTCGGTTTTAAAATTTAGTATCCATTCAGTTATTTTGTTTAGGATATTTTCGGATATTTCGGTTATTTTTGAGTATTTTCGGATATTTTTGGATATATTTCAGTTATTTTTGAGTATTTTTACTATTTTTATATATTTTTTAAGTATTTTTGATTATTTGGTCTATAAATAACTAATTATTTTGAAAATATAATTGTATTTCGGGTATTTCGGTTATCCAAAATATTTCTGTTCGGTATCGATTCAGTTACGTTTATTTCGGTTATAGAATTTAGTATCCATTCAGTTATTTTTAAATTTTCGGCTCGATTTGGTTCGGTTTTTTTTCTTCGGTTTCGGTTCGATACATTCAGTTCGGTTTATTTGCGCAGGCCTAGATTGTAAGGTCACAATTCACATATTTAAATCACTGCTCTACTCAAATAATGTTTAGGAGATAATTTGGGTAACTTTATTAAACGTCGACAAAATTGTGAATACTATTGGGTTTATATTCTCAGTAAAAGACAACTCATCCTCAGCCCATAGGCCCAAATATTTGTTGTATCATAATCCTCCTTTGACTCTTGACTTTTTTTTTCTGGAACTCAGTACCACAATTCAAATCCTTGAGCTCCGAACGGTCAGCTAGGGTTTTCTTCACTCAAGAGAAAAAAAAAAAAAAACAATCTTCTGAGAAAAAACCCAAAAATGGTGGTCTCAAAGCAATCAAAATACGAAGAATTTCGTTTGAAAAGAGTGGAAGAGAACAAGAAACGAATGGAAGCTCTCAATCTTCAAAAACTCTCTCAAAATCTCAATTCCACTTCCGTCAAAAATTCTCCGGTTTTGATCCTTTCTCTCTTCTCTTTTACATGATCCATACAATGATCGATTGAATATTTTTTGTGTAAACTATTGGCAGATGAAGAAGAGATCTATTCCTCGAACACCAGAGAAGCAGATGGTGATTGTTCGTAGATCTAGCCGTATCTCTAATTCTTCTTCGATTCCTGTCTACAGAGAAGCAAGTCCTCTTTTTTAATCTCTTGATTCTTGAAAATTCGCAAAAATCTGTTTTTTTTTCATCATTTCTAGGGTTTTAGCTTGGCTTATGAAATTTGGGTTTTTTTTTTTGTTTTTTACAGGTTGATGTACAACGAATTCAGATACGGAGAAGGTGAAATTGCATAAAGATCTCATCTTTTTTTTTTTTTTGCTATGAATCTTTGAAATTAGACTAGTTTTTTTGTCTTGTTTTGGTTTTGTTTAGGGGGTTGAGTAAAAGGAGAGATTTGTCGAATCGAGTTTATATTTCTGAAGAAATCAGAGAAGAGGCATTTTCAAGAGCTGAGAAATTCCAGGATGAATTGGGGAGTGGTCACCCAAGTTTTGTTAAATCTATGCTTCAATCACATGTTTCTGGTGGCTTCTGGCTGGTAATCAACTTTCGTGTACACAAAATCTTTAGCTTACACTTCTTGATTTCTGTTCTGTTTGGTTAAAGTTCATTGCTGGTCTTTGCATTGCTTCGTGTTACTTGGAAACATCGCTTTTTAATCCAAAGGTTTTGAGATAAAAATGTCTAACCATGTAAACTACAAAACCTTCAAGAACCAGTCAATCTTTCTAACTCAGTACCTATGATAAGTCTAGCTATTTGTATTACTCACATTGCTTAATTTTTGTTCTGTTTGGTTAAAGTCCATCGCCGGTCTTAGTATTGCTTCGTGTTACTTGGAACTATCGCTTTGAATCCGAAAAGTTTGAGATAAGAATGTCTAAACATGTAAACTACAAACAAGACCTTCAAGAACTAGAAAGTCTTTCTTACTCAGGACCTCTAAGTAGCTGTTCATGTCCCGGGAATTGTAGTTTTTCCAGCTCAACAACAAATCTTACATTAGTTAGTTGAGAGCTGAAAGTTAAACGAAGAGTTAGTGTTCTAAGGTCTTGGTTTTGCACGTTTCCCTGGTTAATCAAGTCTCTTTTATGGTTGTAGAACTGAATCTTCTTAAACATCTGATGTTTTTGTACATGTGAATGGAATTACCTAACCAAAAAGGTTGAGATAAAAATGTCTAACCATGTAAACTACAAAACTGTCAAGAACCAGACAGTATTTCTAACTATGATAAGCTGTTCATGTTCAGTCTAGCTGTTTACTTAATTTCTGGTCTGTTTGCTTAGACTCTATCACCATTCTTTGCATTGAGTATTACTTGGAAAAGTATCGCTTTTAATACGATGAATTTGTGTTAATAATGTCAAACCATGTTAACTACAAAACTTTTAAGAACCAGTCAGTCTTTCTAACTCAGGACCTTTAAGATGTTATGTCTAGAGAAGGACTATTGTAATAGCCCAGGGATGGTGCAGGGAATTGTAGCTTTTCCAGCTCAAGAACAACAATCGAACCTTATTACGGCCATTCTGGGTTTGTCTAAGGTCTTGGTTTGAGCGTTTCTCTGGTTAATGAATGTTATTATCTAACCAAAACAAAGCCATTATTTTGGTTGCAATCAGGGACTTCCAGTTCAATTCTGTAGATCTCACCTCGGGAAACAAGATGGTGTCATAACTTTGATAGATGAAGAAGGCGAGGAGTATGAGACTATCTACTTAGCGAGAAAGAATGGACTTAGTGGTGGATGGATGGGGTTTGCTATTGCTCACAATCTAGCATATGGGGATACTCTTGTTTTCGAGTTAGTTCGTCGTACCGCTTTCAAGGTTAGTAAACCCGTTTAGTTACCTAACAAACTTGCAAGAAATGATGAAACTAATGATTAATGTTGTTGTTCTGTCAGATTTACATTACAAGAGTTGGAAGTTCTGGAGAAAGCTCAAAAGATATGAGCTGATCATGTCAGGAATTTGGATATGACCTGAGTTAGAAGTTTATTGCCCTTTTGTCTTTTGTATGTAAGATGCTAACTCTAGGCTAATTGTGCTCTTCACTGCTAAATCTGATATTTTGTTAACAATATTTTGGAAGGGTTTATTTCCATTACTTTAGGTGCAAATCCTTGAAATTTTAGGAATGGGAAATGACATTTAATTTAGTTTTGTTTGATCTTTTTATTTGTTGTTTAACTCCTACTGAAATCGTATCACTTTCTTCTAAATCATTCTCCTATTGAAATCATATCACGGATTTAATCATAACTCTTTAGGTCACCACTTACATTAATGGAAAGAAAAAAACCTAAGGGAGTCTTATTGGTTTATTGATTTGTAAATCCATATAAGACTAGGATCGGACCCGCGGTCCACCGCGGGAGAATATTGGTTTACATACGTTGCATTTAATATTACATACGTTGCATTTAATATACGCGGCATATGAGTGAAACGAGTATATGTCCGGTGTGTAGTAGTGGAGAGGAGACAATCATGCACGTGTTGAGGGATTGTCCGTCAATTGCTGGGACTTGGCAGCGACTTGTGCCTGCATCCAAGATGATCATGTTTTTCCAAAAATCATTACTGGAATGGCTTTATTGGAACTTAAAAGACGGAACAGAGCGGCACGGAGTGCCGTGGTCTACTATTATTTGCTATGATTATATGGTGGGCATGGAAATGGCGTTGTGGAGAGGTTTTTGGTGGTATGGGTCGTTGCCGAGATAGAGTCAAATTTATTAAAGAGCT